AGGAAGAACTGTAGATCTCCACTGGGAACACCAGGCACAACGCACTTCTGCATATTCCAGCCAGAATGAGCAAAAAGAAGGAAAATTCATTTTGCATAAATAAATATACCATGTATGCGATGGAAGGAAATTAATTTCAGAGAGTAAATGTTGTAACTCGTGACTTTGTAAAAAGGACAAAGATAATTACACTATGAGAAGTGAGGAAAAGGGAAGATTACCGCGAAAGTGAGTGAATGGCCCACCCTATTAAACATCTTTCAGTTTTTTTCTCCACAGTAGTCAACAGATACTCTTCTGAATCGATAAATACTAAAGCATGTCACAGAGTGTTGTATAAGGAACCTGCAGAAAACCTAAAAACTACAAGACAACTAATAATATGTTGGGGTTTGGAGTGAGACAGGGAAAATGAATAGAAACTGTCGGACTGATAAATCACAAACTTTAGGTTCAATTATATGATGTTAAATTATATAGGTGACCACGTGAACATGTAAAAGCAATAAATCATTTTAACCAAAGGACTGCACATATATCAGAGGAAGGGCGAAATAAATAAATAAAAAAGAATGCAAAAGAAATGTTAATTACAGGTATGAAAAGATAGTAAACCAAGTATATCAGCAATACGTATTAAAAATATAAGTGCAGATCCAAGACAAAGAACCCTAAAACAAAGTGCCTTAAAAAGGTTAAACTCAGCTGGGCCCGGTGGCTCACGCCTGTAATCCCAGCACTTTGGGAGGCTGAGGCGGGTAGATCACGAGGTCAAGAGATCAAGACCATCCTGGTCAACATGGTGAAACCCCGTCTCTGCTGAAAATACAAAAAATTAGCTGGGCATGGTGGCACGTGCCTGTAATCCCAGCTACTCAGGAGGCTGAGGCAGGAGAATTGCCTGAACCCAGGAGGCGGAGGTTGCAGTGAGCCGAGATTGTGCCATTGCACTCCAGCCTGGGTAACAAGAGCGAAACACCATCTCAAAAAAAAAAAAAAAAAAAAAAGGTTAAACTCACAATTATGAGTATAAAGTAAATAAGAAATACAGATTGCTCTGTATCTCTAGAGCTCCTAACACCCTTGTAATTTCCTGAGTGATGGGCTACCAGGAGCATCTTTGGGTTCCTGGTGTGCAGCTTCCAATCCCCTGAAACTTCCTGGTTGATAGGGAGCATCTTTTGTTCTAATGAACAGTTCTTGGTGGGATCCTAGATGGGGGCTGGTCACCAGAAAGACCGAGCCGTGATTAGAAGCTTGGTCCTTTCAGCCTCATACCCCATCCTCCAGGGAGGAAAGAGGAGCTGGAGATTGAATCAATAATCAATCATGCCTACATGATGAAGCCTCCTTAAAAATTCCTAAGTACAGGTGAGAGAGCTTGAGGGTTGGAGAGCACGTGTTGCTGCTCCTGGAGAAGTCGTGGAAGCTCTATACCCACCCCTACTGTGCCTTTCCTTATGCGTTGCTCCCATTTTATAAGAAGCTGCTGTATTCTTATAAGAATATTCTTTATAAGAAGTAGGTAAACATAGCAAAGTGTTCCCCTGGGTATCCTTTATAAGAAGTGGGTAAACATAGCAAAGTGTTCCCCTGGGTTCTCTGTTCTACCAAATGACTGGACCTAGGAAGGGAGTTATGGGAACCTCCGATTTGTAGCCAAGTTGGACAGAAGCTGTGGGTGACCTGGAGACCCATCACTTAAATCTGGCATCTGGAGCGGGGCAGTCCTGGGAATTGAGCCCCTCCCCTGTGGGGCCAGCGCTAACTCCAGTTGGTGTCAGAGTTGAGCTGAACTGTAGGACGCCCAGCTGGTGCTGGAGAATGGGTCGGCGTGGGGAAAACCCCAGACACGTGGAGGCGGGAGGTGTTTTGTGAGTGTAAGAATAAACGAGGGAGGCATCTCAGCAAAAGAAGTAAGTGGGGCTGATTTTAAAAACAGACAAGTGTGAATTCAAGGTAAATACTGAAAATAGAATGAAAATCTGGTATTCATTGTTAACATCCTGTGGTAAATGGAAGGATGATTGAAGGAGGAATGTGGCTGACAGGGAGCGTGGCCCCACCAGGCCAGTGAGCAAGGCTGGGACTGGAGCTCCCAGACACCTGTCCAGGTCCTTCTCAGAGAGGGACCCATTCACAGGCACTGAACATACAAACCCCTCAGAAACACCTCAGCACATTAAAAACGTTAGAAAAAGTACCAAAGGCATTGTGCTTAAAGCATACGGTGATATCACTAGAAATTAATTTTTAAGTTAAAAAATGTGTGGAGTGTTTTACTCAACACAGCTCAGCTGAGGCTGGTCTGAGTGCAGCGGGCGTACAAGGAATTGATGACAGCCTGTTACAGGTTTCTTTGCTCCTTCTGTATTTCCACTGTGCTTCACTCTACTAGCCTTTATTTTAAAAGTCTATTTGAAGAAGGTACAAAAATTGACCTGATAGAATATCCAGAAAATGCCAATAAAAACATCGCATTTAAGACATAGGGACTGCTGGTAAAGCTTTGATCAGAATAACATGCAGAGCTGAAAATGCTTCCCTGATTAAATTAGACAGGAATAATTGGAAACATGTGGGTTAGGTACCTACTAACTAACTTAGAAAAACAGCAACAAAGTAGAAGAGAACCTGTAACATGGATGACTCGAGGACATCATGCTAAGTGAAATAAGCCAGTCACAAAAGGACAAACGCTTTATGAGTCCACTTGTATCAGGTACCTAGTCAGATTTGTAAAGAGCAAAAGAAGGCCGGGCACAGTGCCTCAAGCCTATAATGCCAGCACTTTGGGAGACCGAGGCGGGCAGATCACTTGAGGCCAGGAGTTCGAGACTGGCCTGGCCAACATGCCAATGTGGGCTTTGTGGCATGTGCCTGTAATCCCAGCGACTCTGGAGGCTGAGGCAGGAGAATCGCTTGAACCCAGGATGCAGAGGTTGTAGTGAGCAGAGGTTGCACCACTGCACTCCAGCCTGGGTGACAGAATGAGGCTCTGTCTCAAAAAAAAAAACAAAAAATCGAAAGACCAAAAGGAGAACGGAATGGTGGTTGCCAGGGACTTGGGGGAGGGTGAATGCGACTGGGAAGCTGGCGTCAGGGTTTCAATCTGGGAAGATGAAGAGAGTTCTGGGGATGTGGCCGCGAGGATCACACACACGCGAATGTATTCAATGCCACTGGTGGTACATTTTAACTTGGTTAAAACGGTAAATTTTATGTTATGTATATTTTACCAAAATTTAAAAATATACAATCATTTTTAAAAAATAGAATGAAAATATTAAAAATAAAAGCAGAAATTTAAGAACTACAAAACATAATCTGTTGATGGGAGGTATTAATCAGAAGGCAAACTCACAGAACTCTAACACAGCAGCAGAGGAAATGGCCAGACTTGTCTGGATCTGCCATTTGTCACATCTGCAAAATGTGACATGTGACCGTGGAGAGAAGACAAGCGTGTGACCTGCAGCACTGCAGACACGGCTGTGTGCAGACACGGGGGGCGTCTGACCACAAAGAGTTTCAGAAAGATAGAATCTGTGAGCCCCATCCCCAGGGGCCATGACTTTGAGGCCCCTTCCCTCAAAGTCAGGACAAGCTACTGCATTAGAAGGTCAAATGCATATGGAGACGAAGTAAACAGTGATTTAAAAAGAAGCCATGGGGCCGGGCACAGTGGCTCACGCCTGTAATCCCAGCACTTTGGGAGGCCGAGGTGGGCAGATCACGAGGTCAGGAGATCCAGACAAGTCTGGCCAACTTGGTGAAACCCCATCTCTACTAAAAATACAAAAATTACCTGGGTGTGGTGGCAGGCTCCTGTAATCCCAGCTACTCGGGAGGCTGAGGCAGGATAATCGCTTGAACCTGGGAGGTGGAGGTTGCAGTGAGCCGAGATTGAACCACTGCACTTCAGCCCAGCAACAGAGCAAGACTCCAACTCTAAAGAAAGAGAAGGAGCCATCCATGGTGAGGTTTGAAACGTTTATGATGGACAGAAGTTCAAGGGAGGCTGGGAAGGTTTTGTCCCACAGAAAAAAAGAAAGAATGAGAAAAAGTTAAATTATGTAAGAGTTACTTCCTGAGGTGTGCGCCTTCGGAGGGCTCGGCTTAAAGCTTCTGGCTAGTGCAATGAGCAGCTACATCTAACCCACCTGTGCTGTCTCGACTGGTTTGCTCCACAGGCTCCCAGGGCCCAGGGGAAGGGATGAGCCATGTCCTGGGCTGGAGATGCTCCTGCAATGGTTGTGGCTTGTGCTATGCTGCCTCCTGCTGTCACCTGGGAGGGCTGGGTCAGCACAGGGACCCCCAGGACCCTGCAGACAGGTCCCCAAACTACTAAGTCTAAGGGCCTGATGTCTAAAAATATAAACCAATAAAACTCACGGCAAGTTAAATAAGCCAGGAGAAGGGGGAAATGCACACAATTACAAATGGAAAAAGCAGAAATAACTGCAAATACAGAGGAAACAAGACACCTGAAGTGCCTATACTGCAAAACTACGCAACTATGTTGAAATGTGGACGGAATTCATTTTATTTTTAAAAATGTAATTAAAATGGTCTCCAGAAGAGCTCGAGGACCTAATCTACCTGATGAGAGAAATCCAGAAATATACCACAGCGGGCCCAGACAGCCCCAGCTAGTTCTTTTACACTTAAATAGAAAATAATTCAAAACCAATAGATGGTTATAGAAAATAGAGGTTTCTTTTCTTAAGTCAGCATCAATTTAAATCAAATGTGGACAAAAAAGCACATAAAAGCAAGCTGTAGAATGCTTAATCTTAATTAGAAATATTGATAACCACAGTCATGATACTAATAAGTAAAGAACATCTCAGGAATATAGATTTAGACTTAAGGATTCTATTAATATAATTAAACATACTACTAGAGCAAAGGAAAAGACCTTCCGATAATCCCTCTGGATACTGAGAAGGTTCTGGTAAAAACCTAACATCTGTATTTCCCCCAGAGAGCCTTCACAATTTGAGAACACACAGGTACTTTTTTATTATGGCAAAGAAAATACATGTCTTCATACAAGTTAAACACTGAGACATTAAAACATCCCACTGTTGTCAAGAACAAGAGAAGTAACTGTTACTCAACACCGACCTCAAAGGAACCAGATTCAAGAAAGAAACACTGGAAAAGAGAAGTCAAAAGGAAATCTCAGAAATGAGTAGGAATCACAACTTGTGGTCGATTGTAACATTTATACATGAAAACCAACTACTTTCTTATACATTGGGATAAAATAGAAAATAAAGTGGAGTAAATCATTCCGTTGGAAACGGTAGCCACATGATGAACCATCTGGAAAGAAGCAACTATAAATTCATAAGATCTCAACAAAGAAAATCATAAAACCAATAAGTTAATAAAATTAGACTTAAACACAAGATTTCATGCTTTTGAATAGGAAGACTCAATCTGTAAATTCGTTGTGACTCTAATTTTTTTAAAAAAGATTCACATGAGAGAGATTCAGAGCTGAAGGGACTGTTGAAAGTATTGATATTGGTATGAGCAAAGCTTTAGAAATTAAAGGCATTCATACAGAGATAAATAAACAGAACAGAAATAGAACCAAACACTTACAGAACTCTAGTTTACAAACAAGGTTCCATTTTGAAGAAGCAGGGAAAACACTATGACTGTATTTCCAAAATTAATTATTACATAGTAATTGATATAACTGGCCACCACATGAAGGAAAAAGTATGGATCTTTCCCTCGTTTCCTGGAACAAATGAATTCCAGGGAGTCAGAAGATGTGAAATAAGCAAATGAAACCATAAAGTTTCAGAAAGAAATATGAGCAAGTTTATTTATAATCTCATGATGAGGAAGGCTTTTTTTTTTTTTTGAGATGGAGTTTCGCTCTTGTTACCCAGGCTGGAGTGCAATGGCATGATCTCGGCTCACCGCAACCTCCGCCTCCTGGGTTCAGGCAATTCTCCTGCCTCAGCCTCCTGAGCAGCTGGGATTACAGGCATGCGCCACCATGTCCAGCTAATTTTTGTATTTTTAGTAGAGACGGGGTTTCATCATGTTGACCAGGATGGTCTCGATCTCTTGACCTCGTGATCCACCCGCCTCGGTCTCCCAAAGTGCTGGGATTACAGGCTTGAGCCACTGCGCCCGGCCCGAGGAAGGCTTTTAAAAACTGGAAACGAATCCCACCACTGACAAAGAAAAATACTGATAAATTGACAACATAAAAATTTAAACTCTCTCTATGCCAATAAATAAGGAAATCAATAAATAACATCAAAAGACAAATGACAAAATTATTTTAAGGACATAAGACAAAAATGTCCCAAAGTGCACAAACAAATTAATTAAGAAAAAGCCAAATAACGCGATTAGGAATTGGGTAAAAGATATGTTTATAAAAATTAAAATTACAAAAAATTGGAAAAATGTTCCATTTTTACACATGATAATCCAAAATCAGAATAATATTCCTAAATATCATGTTTCACCAGTTGTATCGGGAAAACATCAAGGTTGAAAATACCCCAGGCTATTATAGAAAGCTGAGGAACTGGGCCTTTTTTTGTACTCTTGACGGAGTTACATCCATTGATCAGTTTCTAGGAGATAACCTGCCAATATCTATCAAAATTTTAAATACACATAACCTTAACACTCAGCAATTCCATTTCTAAGTTGGAATTTACACCAAGCTTTAGTCACAAAAGTATGTCAAGATGTATGTACAAGCATGCCAATTATAGATTTGTGTATAAAAATAAAAACTGGAAATACCCATATGTTCACCAGTAAAAGGCTATTCAAATAAATGACAGTCCGCTGAGACAGTGGAATGCTGAGCAGCTATTAGGAGGGATGAGGTAGATCTTTATGTTATTACGGGACAGCCTCTAAGACGAAACACCACGTGAAGAATGCAAGGTGCAGAGCACTTCACAGAGTGCAGTGCTGGGAAGGGATGTCTCTCTCCATGCCCCCGTCCCTCTCTCTTTGGCCTCTTACCTTCTTTTCTTCTTTTCTAGAAATGCCCCGAGAAGCTCATTAATGGTCCTCTCTGAGAGAGAAAAGAGGCGGTATGGGAGGCTGTTTTTAACCGCTTATACTTTTCTAACTATGTGTACATCTATTCCCTATTATTACTTTATTAAATGACAGAGTAGTTATTTCAGGGGTCAAAATATGCACAACTTTGGTTTGCATTTTATGTGTTCCTGTACAAACCCCAAAAGGTTTCTTTTTTAAGCAAAAATGTGGGAGGGATCAATTCTGGGATAATGATAAGAAATGAAGCATTTCTAGGTTATCTCCTAGAAAGCATTCCCTTTATATATCAAAACACTTCTACTTGTTTCTAAAGACATTGTAATAGAAAACAATAAATAAAAATCTTGTGCATGGTTCATCCATAGCATGTGGAAGGAGTGACTGCTGGAAGAGCCTGCTCCAAACCACCTGGGGCTGGAATGCCCTGATTCATCAACTTTCTTGTAAGTGAGGTCTCTTCCCTTAAGTCACACACAGGTGCTTGTGCACTTACACACACACACACACACCTTGAACACACACAAGCTTCCACCTTCCTCTAGTGCAAATAAATTCATGTGAATTACCCAGAAATGAGTGAGCTGGATGGCTGGAAAAACACATACGATTTATTTAACTCTGAAAATAAAATCTTCCCGCATGACGTTCCCATCTCAAGGGTTAGAAGCAAATTTAAAATCTCGAGGGGCTCAGAAGCCTCCTACAATTTTGAGGTCTGAGCAGCTGTTGGACGATACCATGGAACAGGAGAGGTCTTTCTTGGCAAATTACCCTCTGACCTCATTTAAAAAATAAGACAGAGAAGAGGCAAAGTGATACTGTCAGCTGGATAATCTAAGGGAAGGGCTGTATCAGCAGTTAGGTTTCAAAATTAAAGTTTCTCTTGTTTTCAAGTTGCTCATCTCCAGGGAATCCACCCATGGACCTTGAGCCAGCTTTCTGGGCTGCACCTGTCATGGACGGGCTCGGGGCAGGCAGACTCCAAAAGGCCAGAATCTAGAGTTGCTGGCCTGTCAGTCACTGAGGGTCTGCCAGCTCCTCCCTATCCAGAGCACTGCGGCCTGGATACCTGCCTGCCACTGGCCAGGTATCCAGAAAAGGGATGGGCCACATCACCCCCTCCTGGCACCTGCTATAGTGGGGACCAGAAGAGTTCCCAGCCCCCACTTCCTGGCCCTGACACACACAGATAGGGCCTAGGAATATGCGGTATGTTCATTTGATGATGTGCATTTGTATGGATGTGCACGTTTCTAAGACTAATCCACTCCAGTGCATGTGAATCAGCTAACACATTTATTTTTTTCCTTCAGCCCACATAAACGGCTTCACTTAGCTTCAGCTATTCTTTTGGGCTGTTATTTCTAGTAGAACTCTATGTGTCCTGTGGGTTCTGCAGAATAGGACAGATTTGCTCAACACCTCAGTGTCTGAGAGCAGTGGTGCTTAGGAGTTATCTGAAATCCACCAGAGATGCTCCGTGGGGCCGGGTCCTTGTTCAGAATAAACGGAAACCCGTGTCCCTTTGATTTCCTTGACAAGGTCGGTTTGCAGAAGCCAGGGAGGCTGGTAAAAACATCCTTAGCAAGACCCACAGTCTCTCTCTCTCTAACACAGAAACCACATAAAACTGCTTCCCTCTACCAATAGTCTTTGATAGAAAAAATAAAAATAAAAGTTGAATTGCAGAAAAGCCAGCAGATTTAGTTTTTAGTTTTCAGTTTCCGTTTTTTGTTTTCCTTCCACCAGTCAATTATTGGAATGGATTTGGTGAGTGTGGTTTATTTTAGCTTCAATCTAGGTTTGTACACAGGCAAAAAGCAAATGTTGACTTTTCAGGTAGACCTTCGTGGCAAGTGGCATGCAGACATGCAGAACCAACTGTCCCGGCGGCGGCGAGGAGCCACTGGGAGCTCTCTGAAGGGCTTTCCAGGCAGCGGGCTCATGGGCAAAACGACCTCTCAGAGTCCCTGCTGACCGACAGCACGGACGGGCCAAGGGCATCGGTCAGCCCATCTGAGAGTACTGAGCAGAGTGCTGAGACCCTATCACCTACAGTAACGAGGAAACCACAAGCAACACGACCGACAGCCCTACGGGAACATCGGAGTTGTCACGTTTAATGCTGTCCTGGATTAGCACCCCCAAATCTCCCCAAGCCAAAGGCCTTGCCCATCTGTGCGTTTCCCACATGTACAGAACCAGGCGCGGCTACGCGAAGTCTTTGGACACGGCCTCCACGAAGTTGGGAGCGGACATCAGGATGCCGATGGTGCAGATGATGGTGAAGACCGAGAAGGCCATGAGGCACAGGCGGTCCACCACGCAGGCCGCGAACTTCCACTCGCTGCACACCGCCTCGCTCTCGTCCTGGCAGCGGAAGCGGTTGGCGATGTAGCGGACCTCCTCCAGGATCTTGGCCAGGTCCGGGTCCCCCTCGGGGGGCTGCCCGCCGTGCAGGAGGTGCTCGTCGTGCGTGGGGGAACAGGTCATGCGGCCGCACACCACCCCGGAGTCGGGGGTTGGGGCACAGTGCACGCCGTCCAGGCCGCGGAAGCCGATGTACAGCAGGTTCCCGTTGCTGGCGGGCGGCGGCGCCACCGCGCTCATCTCCACGCTGGCCAGGCTGCAGCGGCGCCGCGTGTGCTGGCAGGCTGGGCGCACCTTGTCCTCCCCGGGCCTCTTCATGCGCAGGAACCACGCGCACCAGTTCAGTAGGACGACTCTGGTCTGGGGAGACAACAGAACGTTAAGAGCGGCCCCCAGGCGGGCATCGGCTGATCCCGACAACGGCGAGATCCTACAGGGCAAGGCCTGCTTCGTGGGTCCTCGGGTGTAGCAGATGTCACAGCACCAAAACAATTAAAAAAAAAAAAAAAAAAAAAAAAAGAGGCCGGGCGCGGTGGCTCACGCCTGTAGTCCCAGCACTTTGGGAGGCCGAGGCAGGTGGATCACGAGGTCAACAGATCGAGACCATCCTGGTCAACATGGTGAAACCCCGTCTCTACTAAAAATACAAAAAAAAAAATTAGCTGGGCATGGTGGCGCGTGCCTGTAATCCCAGCTACTCAGGAGGCTGAGGCAGGAGAATTGCCTGAACCCAGGAGGCGGAGGTTGTGGTGAGCCGAGATCGCGCCATTGCACTCCAGCCTGGGTAACAAGAGCGAAACTCCATCTCAAAAAAAAAAAAAGAAAGAAATTTAAAAGCAGATGATTTTAGCAGGTAAGCAGAGCCTGCGCTTGACAAGCACTCAGTTCAATGTGAGGCAAGACTCAAACTGAGGCACCCTGAGAACAAGCTACATTTTCCTCCAGGCCAGGCACACTGCAAACTCAGGGAAGGCAGCCTCGAGGAAGGAGAAGGCTATCTGAGCTGCGTAAAAAGGGAAAGTCAATTTCCCTCTCTGATCCTTGTTCATCTGTAACCTGGGGAACTTCAGACCTAACTCTGGCTCCCAGACTATGTGTGAGGCACTCTGGAAGGCCACTGAGAATTCACAAAGAGTCCTGGGAGGTCTGACATTTTCAAATGCAACCCCAGCACATCCACGAGACACCAGGTGAACTTGAGGCCTGAAACAGTTCAGGCTTCCAACATCAGATTACCACATCTCTTATGATGTGAGCACTTTGCAAAGCTGTTTTTCAAAGTTACCCTGATAAAAAGCAAATACCAAGGAACTTCATGTGAAACAGAAACCAGGTTAGTGGTCTCCAATCTGATCCCGAGATTCGAGAGGCCGTGCTGGGCCCCATAGGGGCTACATTGTTAAGGCATACATACTTATTAAAGTGTTTTGATTTATTTAAAAAGAGAGTCTTGGGTCTTATTTCTTTTGGCCAGGGGCTCTGTGAAAAATTTCCTGAGACACTAACGTGCTATGAACCAAGGAAATTTTGGAGCATCTAACCTAGCTCACTAAGCTTCAACGAAGACTGAGTAAGATAATGTCTGGGAGAGTACTTTTTTTTTTTTTTTTTTTTTTGAGATGGAGTTTCGCTCTCGTTGCCCAAGCTGCAGTGCAGTGGCGAGATCTTGGCTCACCGAAACCTCCGCCTCCCAGGTTCAAGTGACTCTCCTGCCTCAGCCTCCTGAGTAGTTGGGATTACAGGCGTGTACTACCACGCCCGGCTAATTTTTTGTATTTTTAATAGAGACAAGGTTTTGCCATATTGGTCAGGCTGGTCTTGAACTCCTGACCTCGTGATCTGCCTGCCTTTGCCTCCCAAAGTGCTGGGATGACAGGCATGAGCCACCGCACCTGGCCCTGGGAGAGTACTTTGAAAAGTTGAAAGTAGAAGTTGGCAAGCTTTCCGTGAAAGGCCAGGCAGCTACTCGTTTCTGCCAATGTCACATGCACTGAAGGCGTCAAATGGATGGCCATGCTTTCTAAAGTAACTTATTTACGAAAACACTTGGTGGACTGGATTTGGCCACCTAGGCCAGTTTGCTAACTTCTGGTCTAAAGTATGTCCTAGAGTGCATGAAAGAAGCTGGAGAAAAACAACCATAGAGTTTTTCCAGGTTTTGCCTCTCATGGAAAGAAGGGAGACATCTAAAGCCTCCATCTAGGTAAAGCAGCATTCTTGCAAGCCGATCCAGGTAAGTGTGTGAAAAGTGGGCCCTGTCTCTGAAATTATCCAGATCCTGATTCCATTTATATTTTGTTTTATGATTGTGGGGAAATTCCATCAGTGACCCAGAAGGTATAGCTCCTATCTTTAGGAAATAAACAGATAGTAAGTTGCGCAGTTCATACCTGCAGGGCTTTCGTTCTTGGTAATCTTCTTATACCATCTTACCAAAAATAACTGCAACAAACAGGTTTGGGGACAAGAACAGGGAAGCACAAGACCAGTTTCGTTGCAGCTATAAAGATAACCCTTTGTTTCCCATTGTTCTTTACAAGCAGGCAGCAATCTGCATGTCCTGGAAAGTTTGGGTCTGCTGACCTTGGAGAGTTTGACCTTGGACCACATGTGAAACCTTGGATGAGCTGGGTCCTCCATACAAGGCTCATGAGACAAGTCATCTCACTTGGGCCTTTCAGGGTCCTGTGAAATGAGTATAATCCCCTCACTTTACAGACCAACAAACTGAGGCTCAAAGAGGCGAATAAACTGGCCCAAGGACATACAATGAGTAAGTAAGCGGTTATGTCACTTAACATGTTTAGCCTTTCCCAGCCTCATCTGTAACAGGGGCTATGAGGTTCTCTTCAAGACTCGGGCAACTTTAGCCCAACCCCTCTGCGAAGGCACCAGAAAGCCTGAGCCAGCTCCCCGGGGAGGCTGCAGGGCCTTGAGTGTGCCTGCACGCAGCGGCAGCTGTGCACACGGGGAGCGAGCAGCAGCAGGCACTTCTCCCTCCATGGCGGGGTCTACACGTCCCCTGGTGCACATCTCAAGCTCATAAGATCCACACTGCCAAGTCAATTTTGAATTCCATGGCCTGAATCATTAGCTTTCAAAGCCAACGCATTTGAAAGATGAAATTATCCTCTTGGCCGTGCTCTTGACCTCTTCTGTTAGGCTACAGTTTTGTTTCTGGCTGTGAAATGTCACATAATGCCACTGCACCCGGCAGCATCTTCTTCATAGCCACAGATCATAATAAAAGTCCCTCGGAGGCTGTTTATGTTTCAAATACACATAGAATGAAAGAAAAATGCAGTGTGTTATGTAAAGTGGGAGAAATGTATAAAAGCTTCATCTTTCATTTGCAGCCAATTGGTTTTAATAAGCTTTTATGCTGAGAGGTGAATATGCTCTTAATTAAGATTTTTTCTAGAGCAGTGGAGTGCTCCAGTCATTAAAAATGGTTTTGTGTCTCAATGTCTTAATTCTCTTATCTTCTCATCAGTCAAAATACTTATAAGAAATGAGAAGAAGTGTTCAGGTTTTTGTATTTGCATAAACAAATACTGGAAGGAAAAAGAAGGAATTCATTCAAATGGTTATCAATATTGGTGGCAGATGCAGGGTAAGGGGCAGGAATGCGAGCAGGGTTTCCTTACGTATAATCGCAACTTTCATTTTATTTTGACTTTGGAAACAGGTAAATGTATTACCTGCTTCAAACTGATTGATGGAGAGACAGAAAGACCAGCAAACAAGCTCCCAGCTCTCAGGGCTCCCACCTCTGGCCTTGCATTTTCCTAAGTGTGTCAGGGTTGTAAGGAAGTCAGACAAAGATACAGGTGAATGTGTGCAAATGTACCCCAGTGTTTAAAGGGGGGTCTTCATAAAACAAACCTCAGGGACCACAGTGATATGGTCTGTGTGTGAGACATCACCATGCAGGCTAAGCTCACACTACTGCTGGCGCAATGAGCTAAAAGTGAGTCTTTTTTTTTTTTTTTTTTTTTAGAGATGGGGTTTTGCTCTGTCACCCAGGCTGGAGGGCAATGCATCATCATAGCTCACGACAGCCTGGAGCTCCTGGGCTCAAGTGATCCTCCCACCTCAGCCTCCCAGGTAGATAGGACTACAGGCACACACTACCATGGCCAGCTCACAAGTAAGTCTTTACTAAATAGTGTATGAGAGGAATGGGCCATGTGGGTGAAACTCTGGGAAGAAACAGTAATTTTGTAAAGCATTTCTTAAGAAGTTGCTAAGTGAGCATTTGGATAACTAAACTACTGCACAATGAATGTTTCAGGAGGCCCAGAAATCCCCGATCCCTGGAGGGCACCTGACTGCATCTCACCCCTTACAGCTGCATTTCGCTTACTGGTGATTCCTAGATTCCCTTCTGAACTGAGACACAAGTGGTCTCCAAGGACAGGCAGCATTTGGGATGTGAGGGCATTTTGAGCTCCCCAAATCCTTAAGCCAGGCTCTCTAGACCAGAGGATGGGGAAGCTTTACAGAGCCCACATGAAGGGAGGAAGGGCGGGCCGGGGCACCTTTCCCTGGCATTGGGTTTGGTTTCTGTGAGGTGGGGAAAGCTCAGGCCCTCCCTAGGCCCTAATCAATGTTTCCTGACTGCCAGGCGAGGGTGGGTACAGAACTTTGGACACGTGACACTGCAGGAGAGGATCCCTGGGTGGGTGAGCACCCATGGATGTGGCGGGCATGGTGCCAACAGCTGGGGCAGGGGTGGCACGGCCCAGGCTAAGCTCACAGGCTGTGGGATGCAATCCTTATGTTTCCATCCGTTCCCTTTTATCCCCTCCCCCTTCCCCACTGGTGATGATTAGTCTTTGTTTTATAGAGTTCTGGTTGGATGATATCCGTGTAAGTACTGCATGTACATATTTGTACATGGCTCATTCTGTTTCTTACTCTTTTCACTCCTCATTCTGTTGTGAAGCCTCAACCGTGCTGCTACACGTCTGTCTCATCTGTTGCTTCCAAGTGCAGCACAGGGCTTCCTGGCGTACATCAAAAACGAACGAACAAACCAACAAAAAACCCCAAAAAACTAGCTTCTCAAAACACCGTGCTGGAAGAACACACAGAGCGGCCAGCCTGAGAGCCCGACTCCCGGCGTCAGATTAGACAGCAGTGCCACGGGGCACCCAGGAACATGCGCACCATCACTGCACGCTACTCAAAGACACACCAATGGGTGATGAATACAGAAACTAAGCTATTTCTTTAGGAATGCCCATTTTTTGTGTGATTTTTTACATCGATAAACCCGCGGAGGCGCCTCCTTTGGGGAGGGGCTCCAACTCCATCGGGGGTGGGAGGAACGTACCCACTTGGGCATCTTGCCGCCATCGGGGTCGTGGTGGTGGTACTGCAGCACGATCACCGTCACCACCACCGAGAGCCCCACAATGATCATGGTGCTGGCGAAGTACTGGGCTGTGGAGAGAACAGATACAGGGTGAGACCCGGGGCTCCCGCAGCATTGAATGTCACAAGACAGGCACAGCCTGACCAGGTTCTCTGGCCGTCAGGGCCTCGGGGTGCAGTGATGCCCATGTGCTGGGCAGACAGCCTCCTGCCACCAGCCAGGTCTGCAGCCCACATTCTAGGTGGGCAAAACCAGCCAGCGCGCTCTGACTTCCCGCCCACGGAGTGGCCTTCCCTCACTCATTGCACTTCCATGCACTCTGGCCTTCTTGTCGGTCAGTAAGAGCTAGCATCGCCTGGCAGGATGCTGAGAAGGTTGCTCCTGTGAGTCAATACTGGATGTGAGGGTACACCAACCACCCAGTGTCTATGCTGCAGGCCTCACCATGCTCGAGATACAACGAGGGCAAACCTGCACAACACCTGTCCGCCACCTGTCCGCCACCTGTCCAGCCCGAGGAAGGGGTCAGTGGCAGGGGCTTTTCAGGACAAGAACTTCAGCCTCAGCTTTGGCTCTGATGGGCATCGGTGTCCTTCCACCTGGGCCCAGGTGAGAAGCAGCACGGAGCATCTGAGTGCTTCTGCCCTGGTGCACTGGCTACCGGCTGTGAGTTTGGAGTGGATGCTCAGCCTCTTTGGGCCTCGGCTTTTCAATGGGGATGGGGCAAAGGATGATGTCTGTGTCCCCACAAAGTTCATGTGTTAAAACCTTAGTCCTAACTGGGATGGGATCTGGAGGTGGGGCTTTGGGAGGTATGAGATTGTGATTTATAACAAGAAATAGGTATTTGGTCTTCCCCCCATTTCCGGGCACACAGCTCCTAAAACCCTTGTTTGCATCTCTGAAGTCATCAGTGTCTTTTTATATGCTAAGGAGATAGTTTATGGTTGAGGTTCCTGGATAGTTTCAGGATGGGGGTTGATTGCCAGGGGAACCAGCCAAGTAATTAGAGAGCTGGAGCCTTCAAACCCTGTCCCCCTTCCCAACCCTTGACCCCTGGGGAGGAAAGAGGTACTGAGGGTTGAGTTGATCACCAGTGGCCAATGATGTAATCAATCATGCCTATGTAGTGAAGCCTTCATAAAAACCCAAAAGCATGGAGTTCTTCAGAGACTTGCCCAGTGCTGAACACGTGGAGGCGTTTGGAGGGCGATGTGCCCAGAGACGGCACGGAAGCTCCATGCCCCTTCCCAAATACCTTGCCTTACGCATTTCTTTCATCTGATTGTTCTTCATCTGTACTTTATAATTAATGCATAAACGTGAGTAAAGTGTTTCCCTGAGTTCTGTGAGCCATTCTAGTAAATGACTGAACTCACAGATGCGGTTTTGGGAACATCCCACTGATTTATAGACTGTTGGTCAGAAGCACGGGAAGCCAGCACTTCTAACCGGCATCTCAAGGAGAGATGGTCTTGAGCCTTAATCTGTGAGTGCCATGCTATCTCCAGGTAGCATCAGGACTGCAGTGAACTGCAGGACACCCAGCTGGTTTCCAGTAACTGGTCCACGTGGGAGAAAAGCCCCCATTTGGTGTCAGGAGTGTTGTGTGAGTAGAGAAAGGGTGAGTGATTTTCTCAGAGGACTTGAAGAGGTCTGAGGGTGCAGCCCTCATGAATGGGATTAGAGTCCTTCATAAAAGGAGGCTAAAGAGCTAATTCATTCTCTGCCACGTAAGGCCACAGCGAGAAGAGGGCCATCTGTAAACCAGGGAGTGGCCCCTCACCAGAGCCCTGCTGGCACCCTTACCTGCGACTTGCAGCCTTGCAGAACTGTGAGGAATAAACACCTGTTACTGAGCCTCCAGGCCACAGCAATTCGTCATGGTAGCCTCCACTCAAACAAACAGGAGCCCCTTCCTTGCAGGATTTGCACAATGATTAGCAATTACATGGGCCAAGATGTCTAAGAGAAAGGAGGAGGTGTTCTTCAGTGGGCAGCTCTGATTATCCAGCCTTTGGTGTGGCTGTGGGCTCAAGGGGCTGAGCTCTAAGGGGAAGCATTTTGGTGCAGGAGTCTGTGTTCAGCTGGCCGAGAACACCACAGGCCCTCACGCCAGGAAGGACTCACTGAGTTCCTGCAGAGACCAAGAGGTACCTGGGAGAACTCTGCCAGAATGTGGAAGTTCGAGACCTAAAGTTACTGTCAGGGCCCCCGAGGAAAGGAAGGAGACCGGAGCAAACTGTGACACTTATGAGCTGAAGTGTGTTTCCCCCTAGAATTCATATGTTGAAGCCCTAACCCCTAGTACCCTAGAATGTGGCTGGACTTGGAGATGGGGTCTTTAGGGAGGTGATTAGGTACAATGAGGTCATCAGGGTAAGCCCTAATCCAATCTGACTGGTGTCTTTTTAATGAAGAGATTTGGACACACAGAGAGATACCAGGGATGCAGGTGCAGTGGAACTACCAGGAGAGGACACAGCATTGAGGAAGTGGTTGTCTGCAAGCCGGGGAGAGGGGTCTCAGGTTAAACCATCCCTGCTGGCCTCTTGGTCTCGGACTTTCAGCAGTGCAACTGTGAGAAAATAAATTTCTATTTAAGCGCCCAAGTCCATGGTATTTTGTCATGGCAGCCTGAGCAGACCAACCACCTATGGAGAGATGGGGGTCAAAGGATTGCTGGGAGTGAAATTCCATCAACAGAGGGCAGCAAAGCTGATGTCCCTGAGGCCATCAGCATCCCATCCTTCTAGATGTGGGCTCTGCACCAACCAAACCTTTCCCAGCAGGTAATCTGTCCAGAGAGGGCTTGACAACTGCCTCAGGAATGGTGGTTGCAAATCTCTACTGAAAGCAATGCATTGGAAGGAGGAAAGAATGGAGTCAGACCCAGGTGGAAAGGTGGTTCTTCCCTGTCTGGATGGTACCAAAAGAAAAATGATACCCACAAAACTTTTTGTACTAACAGTTTCTCTGGCCAAAATATTACACATACAGGGAGTTCCACAGAGAAGGGCCTTGGCTGCCTGGTTCCTAAACCCTGGGTGTATCCAGGTAGGGCTCTCCCTCCAGCCCATCCCCAGGTAGGCACAGAGCATGGGTCCTCGAGCAGCAGGGGCCAGCAGGTGTAATGACAGTCTGTACACCTCCTTCCGACCTTCCCTGCCCAATGGGAGTGGAGACTCTAGGTTTTGCTTTTCCTCCCTGGGCAGAGGGTCATGCCTTATACCTGTGCAAACTATATTTTTCTCATGCATATCTCCCTAAACGTTTTTATGTTATACAGAGACTCTGGGTTATCTCGGGACACCATCACTGTGTGCTCCTCCCATTCAAACGAAGGGTTTGTGGGAAAAAAACATCTCAAGCTAAAATGATGCATCTCTAATGATAAGATACCTGGCTTCAAAGCGAGTATGAGGAGAATTATGACGGGCAGGGGGCATTTCTGCAAGTGAAAGTCCAATCTCAAAACTGAATCGCCCCTTCCCCTTACTTGGGGAAGTCGCCCACATGACTCTGAGTAGTTACAGAAAATCATCACCTTCCAGACAACACGGGGGCAGTTGCAGCCGTATTTCTTCTAGTTTCATCTGCTGGGAAATCTTAGGCACTCTCTAACCCCGTATCTCTAAGAGAGTGCTCGACTCTTGCCTTACCTATCAATGGCACGGAATCGGATGTTGCGGGCATGATCTCAGCCACGAGCAGCATGAAGACAGTAAGAGAGAGCAAGACTGTTATCCCTAAAACATAAACACACAGCAGTTCCTCAGTCAAAACAGACAAAAAGGCCTCCATTCCGTCTAACAAGGGCTCGTAAGCTGACACTCAAAGAACTAGGGAGGTGCTGGGAGTAATGTCACAGAATGCATATTTTCCCTATGTATGGGCATAGGCATTTTCCCGGGGACAGTTCGTGCCACTTATCAGAGTCCCAAAGGAGTCTCTTACGGAGACAAACTCAGAAGCATCAACTGGAAGTTTTAACTTAGCACAATTATCTCTCATATTCTTTGTTAAATATTATTGAGAAGTAGTTTCATGTAACAGGAAAAAGAAAATCTGCAGTCAGGAGACCTGGTTTCAGGTCTTAAGTCTGTTACCCAGCTAGCTACATGATCTTACATATCACATTCGAGCTTGCCGAGCCTCATACTCGGAAGATACAGGTTTGGAAATGATTTCTACCATATGCTACATCTGATGTTTAGTCACTCTTCAAGACATTGAGAAACTCATTCCACCACTCGAAATCTTGGTTTTCTTAGCTTCATATGGGAATGATCATAAGAATCACACTGTACTACAACACACAAATGCAAGCTGATACCGAGCTAAATCGTTCCCTTGATGACCAGTCACCATCAAGGAACAGGTGGGATGGCAAGAGGGAAGAAAGTATAGGGCCCTTGGGGCAGAATGGAGCCGGACCCTCCCCATGCATCCCGCATCCTCTGAGGGTCCTCCAGTATTCTTAGGACCACATGGCCATCCAGTACGAAGCCTGAATCAGGGACCCCTGGTGTCCTGGAGCCAGCCTGGGCTAGGAGGTCCATGTGGGATGAGCCTGGCAAGCCCCAGGAACCCTGATGGAGTCCTTTGCTGTCTGCTGTGAGCCCTGCAGAGCTGACCTCAACAGAGGGCCTCCAGTCTCAGACTCCCGCCAGAGACCTGAGCACTTACCCAGGGAAATCTTCTCCCCAGAATCTGCAGGAAGCAGAAACACCAGCAGGGCGAGGGCGGAGATGAGCACGCAGGGGATGAGCAGATTGAGGCCGTAGTAGAGGGTCCTGCGGCGCATGGTCACCGTGAAGGTGACGTCGGGGTAGGGCTCTTTGCAGCACTCATAGAACTTTTCACTCCTCTTGCCCGGGATTCCTCCACAGGGAGGAGGAGAAAAGGAGCCATTGTTAGAATACAATACATCACCCTGTTGATTTCAATTTGTATACCACACACACGCATAGCTCTAAAGTTTGCAAAGCGCTAAACAAAAAGGAGGGGGGTTGGGAGGTCGAGGCAGGTGGATCACGAGGTCAAGAGATCGAGACCATCCTGGTCAACATGGTGAAACCCCATCTCTACTAAAAATACAAAAAATTAGTTGGGCATGGTGGCGTGTGCCTGTAATCCCAGCCACTCAGGAGGCTGAGGCAGGAGAATTGCCTGAACCCAGGAGGCGGAGGTTGCGGTGAGCCGAGATTGCACCATTGCACTCCAGCCTGGGTAACAAAAGGGAAACTCCGTCTCAAAAAAAAAAAAAAAAAAGAAAGAAAGAAAGAAAAAGGAGGGGGACGTAATTAGCTTGAATAAAACCTTATTGATTTACTGTAGAGTTAAGAGTATCTTAGTGATAATTGGGCACATTGGTAGACATTCTTTTGATGGATTGGAAACATATAATTATAAATAATACATTACCAATTTTACACTGTTGTAAATGTAATCATTGTTTTTCTACTTAAAATGATCAAATAAAAGTTCCCATCAGCTGAAATCTGCTGTTCAACTTGCTTTTAGAAACGGAGCGGATCTGAATAACACAGGGATCTCCATCCTCACACTGGTTTGTTGGAGTGCGTCCTCACTCTGGTTGCCAGCTCCTCATGGAAAGCATGGCATATCCTGTTTGCTGTTTCTCCTCCTAGAGCTCTTACTCAATTATGGAGACCACCGAAAAATTCAGTAAATGCTCACACCAAAAAGGACATGGGAAATCCCAAACTGTTAAAGCTTGCCCAGGAATAGGAAAGCTTTCTTCCGGGCTGTTCATCGCATGGCTTACCCACGAGGTCCCATTCCCCATTGGGGATATAGCCGCTGATATCTGCCTCCTGCATCTGCAGATCCAAGGACCACCCTCCGTAAGACCAGGATCCAAACTTCAGCTTGCAATGCTGCACATCAAAGGGAAACCAGCGTACATCGATGTAGCAGGAACTCTTGAATATGCCTGTGTGGGTGATGGAAACAGAAGCTGGCTGAGACATGCTCAAAATACATAGCAGTTCCTTCAGGCGGTTCCACCCCTCCACGCTGCAGATAACCCAGGCCAGAGAAAACAGAATCTGTCTTTTTATTTATTTATTTGTGAAATCTTTAAAACAGAATCTCAGCTAAGCATCGCTGTCTTTTAAAACCCAAACGTAACACTGACGTGCTCTGTCAAAGACTGTTCTGTGGACTTTTCATGCAAAAAGTTAGCTCTGTAATCTTGCATTTACCATGAGCATCTTCTGATTCTAAATAATAGAAGGATGCAAAATATCTCAGAGAAGTTGATCACAATGATGAGATTAGATACAAAATCTAAAAGGGGTGTGTGTGTGTTTGATGCAGAGTGAGGTAGGCATTTTCTGTGGGTTAAATATGGGAGAACACATGATTATCTAGAAATTTAATCCAAAATTCTAGGTAAAGCCAGAATTTTAACTAATTTAAATTCTAGATCAAGAACAGAACAAGCTGGGCACAGTGTCTCATGCCCATAATCCCAGTGACTTGGGACACTGAGGTGGTAAGATCACTTGAGCCTAGGAGTTTGAGACTAGACTGGGCAACATAGTGAGACTTCATCTCTAATAAAAAAATTAGCTGGGTGAGGTGGCGCATGCCTGTAGTCCCAGCTACTCAGGAGGCTAAGGCAGGAGGACTGCTTGAGCCCGGGAGTTTGAGGCTAAAGTGAAGTGGGCTATGATCGAGCCCCTGCACTCCAGCCTGGGAAACACACCTAGAACCTGCCTCTAAGAAAAAGTTGAAAAAAAAAAAAGGTTTAAGCTGAAGAGATGGTGCTTGAAGGAGGAGTTTCCACTGAAAAGAGCTATTCCAGGCTGGGGCAGGTTAGAAGTGAATTTCACAGAGGGCCACAGGGAGGAAACCAGAAGAGGCCGCTCCGGTTATTCACGCCCATGTTCTCTTCCCAGCCCAGAGCAAGGCTGCATGGCACAAGAAGATGGGCAGAGACTCAGTGTCCCGGTGCTCCTGGGGCGGGGCTGGCACTCTGCAAACTTCTGCTACTGAATTACAGAAAGAATGCACGGAGGAAAGTCCTCAATGGCCTCGCAAACGAGGACCCCATCCCACAATCAAATTGAGAAAAGATACCCTTGAAGTTCCTAGGTCTGATTTCCATCCTCACACAAAACGTTTATAGGAATCTGGAATCATCACAGACACTCCCCTCCATTAATGACTGGATCCGCAAAACCCACACTGTCTGCCAGTTAAAAGCTGTGCAACCTCATGAGTCCATTTCTACAAAATGGCCCAAGATAGAGAATTTCTAGATAGAAAGCAGATCAATGGCTGCTGCGAGTGGGGATGGGAATTCACTGCATACAAGCGAAAGGGATCTTTGTGGGGTGATGGGAATGATCTAAAACGAGACTGTGGTAATGGTTGCATAATTCTGTAAATATACTAAAAATTCTTGAATCATGTACTTAAAATGCATGATATGTAAATTCCATCTCAATAAAGCTGTTAGGAAATAAACACATGAAATGAGGGAAAAGTCGTGTTATGATCAAGTCTCTATTTCAAAGCTTGAACTCCAAACCCTCTTTTCCACCCATGCCCCTCTAACTGCAGACAGGGCAGCATCCTGGGACTAGTTCCACACCCCCAGGGTGCAGGTGGGCAGCTCTGGGCCTTTCCTGCCAGTGGAAGGAAGCCCCTCATGGTCACGGGACAATGTGTCCAGTCCTGACCGGGATCCAGGGCCACTGCAGTGGGGACATAGCCCCAGCGGGGGTGGCTGCACTCAGGCAGCTAGAGGCTTGGGGTGCCACTCCTGCAGCTGAAAATAGCCTCAGCCTTCCCAACAACCTGCAGCAGCATCTTCTATACTGGTGACTACCCGAGGCTGCTTTCTAAAATAGCCCTCAGAACAGAAGCTGCAGCATGCAGCCCTGGTAAGAAAGACCTCGGGAGTGACGGAAGGCTCCCCTGACTGCCCCCATCTGCAAGGAACCTGCTGGTAGCAGGAAACACCAGGGCCAGCAGGAAAGTGGATGCTTCAAGAAGCCTGAACAGCTGAACTTCTTCAGTCTGTTCCAACATTATGGGAGGTGCTACCACTGACAGGTTCACTGGCTTCTTTGTTCATTCAGGGGTGGACGCTAAGGTGAGCAAAGGCGGACTCTGACCCCAGGATGCTTGTCACCTGCTGATAGGGACGGCACACAGACAGCAACCCAGAAGGCAGAGCCAGCCTAGCTGAGGCAGTGTGGTGAGTGTGGGCGTGTCTCTGAGGTGGCGTGAGATGTGTATTACAGTGTGCAGTGTGAGTCTGAGAGCGTATGAGGTGTGCATGTGGTGTGACACATGTAAGTGTGTGGGGCATGTGTATGACGATGTGTGGTGTGAGATGCATATGTGCATGTGAGAGTTTAGCTGATGTGAGAATGTGAGGTGTGGGGGTACATGAGTGTGTAGGAGTGTGTGTGATGTCTGCCTGTATGTGAGCATGGGAGTGTAAGTGTGTGGTGCGTGCGTATGTGTGTGGTGTGTGAGATGTGTACATGTGTGCGGCGAATGTGAGAATGTATGAGGTATATGTGTGTGAAAGTGTGTGGTGTGAGCATGTGTGTGGTATGTGAGTGGTGTGAGTATATCCGGTATGAATGTGTGTGTGCATGTGTGTGTGACTGGTGCTTGTGTGGTATGTGTGTCAGTGGTGCATGTGTGTGGTGTCTGCACGTGGGTGGTGTGTGTGTCTGTGACATGTATACGTATGTGTATTGTGTTTGGGTATATGTGAGGGGTGTATGTATCTGTATAAGTGTGTGTGCAAGTGTGAAGGATGTGTGTGAGTGGCATGTGTATGTACATGTCTGTGGTATGTATATGTGTGTGTGGTTTGAGTGGTATATCTGTGTGTGCATATATGTGTGCATGGGGGTGTGGGGGGCACGTGTGGTGTGAGTGGCGTGTATGAGAGATGTGTGTGAGGGGTGTATGTGTAAGTGCTATGTAAGAGGTGCCTGTATGGTGTGTGTGAGTGGTGTATATGTGAGTGGTGTGTAAATGGTGAGTGGTGTGTCAGTGGTGTGTGCTGGGTGTATAAGTGGTAGGTATGAGTGGCGTGTTGGTGTCAGTGGTGTGTGTGAGTGGTATGTATGGAGTGGTGAGTGACTGAGTGGTGTGCGTGAGGGGTGTGTGAGTGGTGTGACTGTGAGTAGTGTATGAGTAGTGTGTGAGTGGTGCGTGTGTGACTGAATGGTGTGAGTGGTGTGTGTGACTGAATGGTGTGAGTGGTGTGTGTGAGTGGTGTGTGTGAGGGGTGTGTGAGTGGTGTGTGTGTTTGTGTCAATGGTATGAGTGGTGTGTGAGGGGTGTATGAGTGGTGTGATTGTGAGTAGTGTGTGAGGTGTGTGAGTGGTTTGTGTATGAGGAGTGTGTGAGTGGTGTATGAGGAGTGTGTGAGTGGTGTGTGTGTGATTGTGTGGTGAGCTGTGTGATTGTGAGTACTGTGAGTAGTGTGAGTGGTGTGTTTGTGTGAGTGGTGTGTGTGGTATATGTGAGTGGTGTGTGAGTTGTGTGAAGGGTGTGTGATAGTGTCTGTGAGTAGTGTGTGAGTAGTGTGCAAGTGGTGTGTACGTGAGGGGTGTGTGAGTGGTGTGATTGTGAGTGGTGTTTGTGAGTAGTGTGTGAGGTGTGTGACTGAGTAGTGTATGAGTAGTGTGTGAGGGGTGTGTGAGTGGTGTGTGTGTGACTGTGAATGGTGAGTGGTGTGTGTGAGGGGTATGTGAGTGGTGTGTGTGTGATTGTGTGAATGGTATGAGTGGTGTGTGAGGGGTGTATGAGTGGTGTGTAAAGGGTGTATGAGTGGTGTGATTGTGAGTAGTGTGTGTGTGAGGTGTGAGTGGTGTGTATGAGTGGTGTGTGAGTGGTGTGTGTATGAGTGGTATGTTAGTGGTGTCAGCGGTGTATGTGTGTGAGTGGTATGCATGGAGTGGTGAGTGGTGTGTGAGTGGTGTGTGTATGAGTGGTATGTTAGTGGTGTCAGTGGTGTATGTGTGTGAGTGGTATGCATGGAGTGGTGAGTGGCTGTGTGAGTGGTGTGTGTATGAGTGGTATGTTAGTGGTGTCAGTGGTGTATGTGTGTGAGTGGTATGCATGGAGTGGTGAGTGGTGTGTGAGTGGTGTGTGTATGAGTGGTATGTTAGTGGTGTCAGTGGTGTATGTGTGTGAGTGGTATGCATGGAGTGGTGAGTGGTGTGTGAGTGGTGTGTGTATGAGTGGTATGTTAGTGGTGTCAGTGGTGTATGTGTGTGAGTGGTATGCATGGAGTGGTGAGTGGTGTGTGAGTGGTGTGTGTATGAGTGGTATGTTAGTGGTGTCAGTGGTGTATGTGTGTGAGTGGTATGCATGGAGTGGTGAGTGGTGTGTGAGTGGTGTGTGTATGAGTGGTATGTTAGTGGTGTCAGTGGTGTATGTGTGTGAGTGGTATGCATGGAGTGGTGAGTGGTGTGTGAGTGGTGTGTGTATGAGTGGTATGTTAGTGGTGTCAGTGGTGTATGTGTGTGAGTGGTATGCATGGAGTGGTGAGTGGTGTGTGAGTGGTGTGTGTATGAGTGGTATGTTAGTGGTGTCAGTGGTGTATGTGTGTGAGTGGTATGCATGGAGTGGTGAGTGGTGTGTGAGTGGTGTGTGTATGAGTGGTATGTTAGTGGTGTCAGTGGTGTATGTGTGTGAGTGGTATGCATGGAGTGGTGAGTGGTGTGTGAGTGGTGTGTGTATGAGTGGTATGTTAGTGGTGTCAGTGGTGTATGTGTGTGAGTGGTATGCATGGAGTGGTGAGTGGTGTGTGAGTGGTGTGTGTATGAGTGGTATGTTAGTGGTGTCAGTGGTGTATGTGTGTGAGTGGTATGCATGGAGTGGTGAGTGGTGTGTGAGTGGTGTGTGTATGAGTGGTATGTTAGTGGTGTCAGCGGTGTATGTGTGTGAGTGGTATGCATGGAGTGGTGAGTGGCTGTGTGAGTGGTGTGTGTGAGGGGTGAGTGGTGTGTTTGTGTGTGTGGTGTGTGTGGTGTATGTGAGTGGTGTGTGAAGGGTGTGTGATAGTGTGTCTGTGAGTAGTGTGTGTGAGTAGTGTGCGAGTGGTGTGTATGCGAGGGGTGTGTGGTATGTGCGAGGGGTGTGTTAGTGGTGTGTATGCGGGTGTGCGAGGTGTGTGTGTGAGTCATGTGTGAGTGGTAGTGAGGTGTGGAGGTAATTGCAGGTTGCCTCTGAGCAGAAAGTTAAACAGCTGCAGTGTGGGAGATAACCCTGGAATAAATACATTAAAAATCTTCTAAAAGATCAAAAACCCCAACTATTCATCTCAATACGCCAGCACACACCCTGCATGCTGTGTGAACTGGACTGCAAAGACGGGCTGGTGGGAAAGAAGCGATCTGGGAGCACTTAGCCGTGGAGGTGGAGTGAGGAGAGGACACTGCTGGGAAGAAGTCAGTCGCTAGCAAGCTCTCCCTTGAAACCACCAGACTGTACCTGTAACCTGCATGTGCTCTTTTTTTTTTTTTAATTTTTTATTGGATTATAGGTTTTGGGGTACATGAGCAGAGCATGCAAGACAGTTGCGTAGGTACACACATGGCAGTGTGCTTTCTTTTCTTCTCCCCTTCACCCACATTTGGCTTTTCTCCCCTGGCTATCCCTCCCCACCTCCCCCTCCCACTGGCCCTCCCCTTTTCCCCCCAATAGACCCCAGTGTTTAGTACTCCCCTTTCTGTGTCCATGTGTTCTCATTTTTCATCACCCACCTATGAGTGAGAATATGCGGTGTCACGGCAAAAGAAACAGTCACTAGAGTGGATCTGCATGTGCTCTTTAGCGCACACACTCAGGATCCTGGAACTGTCACATCCCACCCCTGCAGCTAGAGCCCTGCATTGTCAAGACACTGAGTCCTGTGGGAAGGAGGATGGCGAGCTGGAACAGAGAAGCAGAGCCTGGAGAGGTGGCCTGCAGGCTGGCAGGTGAGGTGGCCACTGCCTGGAAAGGAGCCTTGCTGTACCTGTGCACTGGCTTTAAGGCACACACGGCAGAAAATAAGGACATACGACACGCACTGGCAAAGGCAGCTGGACTGAGACAAAGGAGGGGGATGGACTTCTGGGGGGTGGAAAGCACATAGAAGCACACAGAAGTTCCTTGTGTTCTATGTTTTATGTGGAAAGCACATAAAAGCACATAGAAGAAGAGGTGGGAGTGAGCAGAGGCGAAGCACAGAGCTGGTCCACCACACGGGGGCACCCGCCGGACTGACACCCAAACTCTTTCAATCTTCTAACTGCAAGAAGACAAAGGAAGTGCAGCTTACCTGGAGGCAGGTACTGGCAGTGCCCAGAAGAATTCACCAAGACGTTGGTGTGGAATGTGGCGTCAAAGCGCTCGTCAGCACTAGAAACAGGAAAAGGACGGCATGAGCCAGTGCCACCAGGCTGTAGATTTCCCGAAGCCCTGGGGTCTGTCTTCGCTGGAGCGGCAGAGACCTCCAGAGGGGCCCCTGTCTGTCCTCACAGCCCCACACCCCGCCTGAGAGCACACTGGGGGCTAGCCTGGGAGGTCTTCGAGGACCACAGCTGGGAAGGAACCAGTGTCCACCTCCATTTCCATTTTCACGCTGCACTGTGATTTTTCTCACACTGTATACAAAATAAAGCTCTTAACCGAAGTGAAACCTGTAAACAACTTTGGAGGACACTGGAAGATACGACATTTTCATGACAGCTAGAAGAAGAGAGGGTGCGGGAAGCGCGCCGCCACCCTGTGAGCCCCATGGGGCAGGGATTTTCACTCGCTGTGCTCAAAGCTCTAGCTCCCGCCTCTTGAGGGGCCCACACTAGGTTAGTGCTTCACATTTACACCTTCAATGACGGAAGCTGCAGGTGCAGGAGGGAGCTGGACACCACAACCCCGGAGGGTTCCCGGCTCCAGGGTTAGTGAATAGGAGAGTGGGTGAAGACAACAGAATTAAGCACGAGTTTTAGATGGACGCACCTCTGCCCCTCCCAGCCTGTGTTCCAGCCTCCTGCAGCCAAGAGTTAACAACTGGGCTCACACACACACACACACACACACACAACTGGGCTAATGGACACACACACACACACCCCTGGGCTAATGGACACACACACACAGACACACACACCTGGGCTAACGGACACACACACACACACACCCCTGGGCTAATGGACACACACACACAGACACACACACACACACACACACCTGGCCTAACGGACACACACACACATACACACACACACCTGGGCTAACAGACACACACACACACACACACACACCCCTGGGCTAATGGACACACACACACACACACACCCCTGGGCTAATGGACACACACACACAGACACACACACCTGGGCTAACGGACACACACACACACACACACACCTGGCCTAACGGACACACACACACATACACATACACACCTGGGCTAACGGACACACACACACACACACACACACACAAACTGGGCTAACGGACACACACACACACCCCTGGGCTAATGGACACACACACACAGACACACACACCTGGGCTAACGGACACACACACACACACACCTGGCCTAACGGACACACACACATACACACACCTGGGCTAACGGACACACACACACACACACACCTGGGCTAATGGACACACACACATACACACATACCTGGGCTAACGGACACACACACACTCACATACACACACACACCTGGGCTAACGGACACACACACACATACACACACACCTGGGCTAACGGACACACACACACACACATACACACACACACACACCTGGGCTAACGGACACACACACCTGGGCTAACAGACACACACACATACACACACACACACCTGGGCTAACGGACACACACACACACCTGGGCTAACGGACACACACACACACATACACACACACACCTGGGCTAACGGACACACACACACACACACACAACTGGGCTAACGGACACACACACACACACACACCTGGGCTAACGGACACACACACACACACACACACACACCTGGCCTAACGGACACACACACACATACACATACACACCTGGGCTAACGGACACACACACACACACACACACAAACTGGGCTAACGGACACACACACACACACACCCCTGGGCTAATGGACACACACACACAGACACACACACCTGGGCTAACGGACACACACACACACACACCTGGCCTAACGGACACACACACATACACACACCTGGGCTAACGGACACACACACACACACACACCTGGGCTAATGGACACACACACACATACACACATACCTGGGCTAACGGACACACACACACTCACATACACACACACACACCTGGGCTAACGGACACACACACACATACACACACACCTGGGCTAACGGACACACACACACACACATACACACACACACACACCTGGGCTAACGGACACACACACACCTGGGCTAACAGATACACACACATACACACACACACACCTGGGCTAACGGACACACACACACACCTGGGCTAACGGACACACACACACACACATACACACACACACCTGGGCTAACGGACACACACACACACACACACAACTGGGCTAACGGACACACACACACACACACACCTGGGCTAACGGACACACACACACACAGCAGCAGCAATTACACCCACAGCCTGTACTAGCCTTGTCTTCTTCTATTTTCTGGATTCCGATGCATTGACATCTGGGGCCTTGCTGACTCTGGAGGGTCCCTCAAGGGATTGTCAGTTCACTGAGAGAGTAAACAACTCCAGCCTTTCAAACATAAATCAATCAATCCAGAACCACCACCCAAAGACATCCTTTATCAGGCTGTCACACGGGGACTGACCCCAGTCCTGCCCTCATCACCACAGGACCAGGTACCAGCCAAGCAGGGAGAGTCCCTCTGCTCCAGGGCCTGCTGACATTATTCTCAGGAGCCAGCCCTAAGCCTGAGCCTGCACGCCGTGCTCCTCCCTTCCTTCCTGTAGAAGCCACAATGAAGGAAGGCCCGTGCTCAGGTTTCCCACATTCTCTGCCTCCTGCGTGGCCCTAGAGCTTCCCTGTATCCTCGCATGCTGCGCTGTGCTTCTGCTTCTAAGGAACTGTGAGTAAAGCCATCTTCCTTCCCGACAGTCACTTCTGTGTTGGAGTGTGTCACCGTGCCTAATTAAAACCAGCCCCGGGTACCCTTAAAACACAGCCCTACAGGTAAAGAAAAATAAACCACCTCAAGAAAACACAGGCAGCCAGTCAAGGTACCAGCACCCCAGAGTAAAGCTCCCCTCATTTTGGCCACCGTGGCCCCTGTAGGAGCTGCCCACGACTATGAGCCTCAAGCCTCAGGGAGCCTCTCCCACATCTGAGACCCTCCCACGGGGAAACTCAGAATCACAGATACAGTCTCCAGCATGTGACACACAATGGAGGGCACACACCAAGAAAGATCCAAGAAGAATGAGTCAATGAAAAGAAGAAAAAAATCACTTCTTTGAAAAGGCCAGGTGCAGTGGCTCACGCCTGTAATCCCAGCACTTTGGGAAGCCAAGGCCAGCAGATCACCAGGTCAAGAGATCGAGATCATCCTGGCCAACATGGTGAAACCCCATCTCTGCTAAAAAAAAATACAAAAATTAGCTGGGGGTGGTGGTGGGCGCCTGCAGTCCCAGCTACTCAGGAGACTGAGGCAGGGGAATCCCTTGAACCTGTGAGGCAGAGGTTGCAGTGAGCTGAGATCGCGCTACTGCACTCCAGCCTGGTGAAAGAGCAAATCTCCATCTCAAAAAACAAACAAACAAAAGTAACATCCTCACAAAATTCAATAGGATGTCACAATTAGTTAGAAAAACAGAGGAAACGGAAATTAACGGTATGATTTATGAAATAACTTTTTGTGAGTGGGCAGGAGGCTTGGCTGATAGAAATCACAAAGATGAAATGTAACACAGAAAGAAGATGGCACAGAGGTCAAGGAGGGGCAATCTCAGCTCACTCACAGAAGCCCTCTCTGGGAGAGGGGGAGGGAGAAAATTACCCAAGAAATAACACAAAGATACTCCTCACAGCAGAAAAACCACCCAGGTATGAAGGCAAAAAAAAAAAAAAAAAAAAAAAAAAAAGGTTTCAAGAACATTAAGGCCTTGAAGAGCTTGTTCCCAACATGTATTTTCTTGGTCAGCTTTGGAACAATGAAAGTGAAAACTGAGAAAGAAGAAATACACTTTTACACTAAACCTGGAGATCGATAAAAGAGATTTAGATGATGAGTTGTGCAGGAGGCCCAGAAAAGGGAGGGTCCAAATCCCAGCAAGACCTTTAGGTCCTCAGGACGGAACCCAATGGGTTCAGAGCAAGAAAGAGGAGAGATATTGAGCTGAAAAATATGATGGACTTGATTCAGGACACATTTTTTGAAGTTCTTGGAATAAGAAAAAAGGCAAGCAGAAACTCTAGCAAAAAATACATAATTGTACAAGGAAGTCATGATTAGAATTTGAATATGAAACAAAAAAAATGTGATGAAATGTAAGGGAAGGAAGAAAGGAGAAGGGGGGACACGGTGAGAGAAAGGAGAGAGGGAGAGAAGGCGGGAGCTAAGCTGTCATGAAGGAACACACACATCCCCCGTACTCCAAACGCACATAGGGAAAGAGAGAGGAGGAGGCTGGATCGACATGTAAATGTTCTTCGCTGGACTGTAGCCTGTATCTGACTGTTAACGACTTGCATTATAAACAGTGACTGGGCACAGAATAGCTGAAACGTGAACCTGCACAACCTCACTCTGGATGGTTTCACGATCTCCAAGTCAGGTTCTCCGGAGCCCTGAGATCCTGTGCAGGCACCTCGAGGTTTCTGAAAAAATGTTCACCTCCGATATTTTAGTTCCTCTGGATTTGAAAATAGTAATAAAAGTCACACACTCAAATGAGTATTAACAAAATTTTAACGCTTAGAGACTACCACTGTGTTCATTGATGTATCCTGTTTCACTTCTTTTTGCCTGAAAGTGAAACTAAAGCCTCTCTGGCCATGAATGTGCACACATCTGCATCTCTTGTAAAGGAGTCACGGCACGAGATTTCAGTTTTTCATAAAAAATTAAGTCTATGGGCCCGGCGTGGTGGCTCACACCTATAATCTTAGCACTTTGGGAGGCCCAGAGGGGAGGATTATTTGAAGCCAGGAGTTTGAGGCCTGCCTGAGCAACAAAGGAAGACCCCATCTCTACAAAAACAAAATGTGTTATGAGCTTATAGTTCCAGCTACTCAGGAGGCTGAGGCAGGAGGATTAGTTGAGTCCAGGAGTTTGAGACCTGCCTGAGCAACAAAGGAAGACCCCATCTCTACAAAAACAAAACGTGTTATGAG